ACAAAGGAATTACAAAACACCATTAAAAACAGGACCTAATAATATGGCAGAAGGAATATAAAAATGGAAAATCAAATATAAATATGCTAAGCCACATCTTTAAAAGGCAAAGGCAGAGGCTGTGCCTATAAATAATTAACCTGAGCTTAAAACAAAAGACGAGGCAACACTGATAGTGCCGTGGAATCGCTGGCGAGGTAGATGGGAGCAGTGTTCACTTCAGACAAGATAGAGCCCGAGGTGAAAACTTTGCTGTGACAAAGCTGATCGCTGCTGATTTGAGAGCATCTTTTCCTTGCTTATGCATATGCATGACTTTCCTGTAGGTCATGCATTTCTTTAATCACAAACTTTCTGCTCATACTTCTCTAAAGCTTCCCCAACAACGAATCACATCCAATACTGTAGAGTGATGTGAAGCTGTGTCTACTTCTGTGTTACGCAGTGCCTGTCCCATTCATAAAATTTATCAGGAAATAGCGAGAAAGAGATCCGTCCCGGCCACATGCAATCCTTCTGTTGCACTCTGTTTCCTATGGAGATCAAATAAAAATAGGTGTGTTGTTTGCTTTCTATTTTACATACCACTTTCTGTCATTAGGTTGTCCCAGATATGGATGCTTGGGGCTTTTCCTGTATTGTCTTCCATCATTCCATCCAGAATTGGTTCGTCTCTTTATTGATTTTAATGGCCAAGGTTCAAAGCTTCCTTGTATTCTTTTCTCATGTCTTCAAACTATCTGCCCCATAACTCTGCCCCTTGGCCAGCTCCCTTTCAATCTCATCTTTCACTGCTCTTCCATAAAACTTTTTTTGTTTTTCCTACTAAGGTAAAGGAAAAGTTGATTCACCCAACATATTTAGAAGTTCCTGTGTGAGAACCTTTTCCTAGGTTTGTTTCTCTTCCTCACCTGTTGACTAAATGCATCTGACATGAAGCAGAATAGTTTTGAGTTCCCCACCTCCACTTCCATTTTCACTCCCTCTCTCTCTCCCTGGTCATCTCTGAATGAGGAGTTGCTGGGGTTTTCCCAGAGAGAGTTTGGTAGAGTCAGTCTCTTTGATCTTAAAGCTGCGGACTCATGTTATCCAGACAAGCCTTGGACAAATCTCCGCATTCCAGCAAGCTATTACTTCACACATCTTTACTGGACAGAGGCTGAATTAATTATCTTCTCCTCCGACTGCTTGATACTCCGAATCGAAGTGATTTTACTTCTGAACAGTTTGAGGGACGCTGCACCTCTCATTTCCACAAGCAGAGTGCAGAGACTCCTTAGTGAGCGTTCTTTCCACACCGGCCCTGACTCCACTTTTGCTTGCTATTATCCTAAGATGCGAAGTAAACCTATTTCCCAGGGCAGAAGATGGGCTCACGTTGCTGCGCGGGAGAAGGGGGTGTCCACGGAGGAGAGAAAGCCGAGAGGCTGTCCGAAGAGCGAGACACTGCTGGAGGGGGAGGGAGGCCGAGCTGGTGGCAAGCCGCCTCTGCTCCCCAGCGGTCGTGCCCTGGATCACTTTCTGATGTCTGGGAATGAGTGAGTCCTGGCTCATTTTTCAACTCACCCAATTCATACTTTAATTACGGATAATTCCTTAAAAAGCTGCTAAATTATTCATTAGAGACTTAAGTTTCTAGTACAGCTGTAACTTTGCATATTTTTTAAATGCTTGGATTTACTTTTCAATGAGAAAACTCTCTGTCTTCTCTGTGTCTGTTCTGCTTCATGTGCTGAAGGGACCATGGGGCCTGAGCCAAGGAAGGATGGAAAATTCCGCAGCGCTCTGTAAAGCGTGCTGGTCTTACTCACATGCTAGTTCCAGAGGGATAATGGGGCCGCTTACGTCCCCCTCCCTGCTCCCCACCTGCGTCTGTGGTGGAGGCACATTCAGCTACTGTGATGACTGGATACAATGTTTGTCACGTGTTTGTGTCCAGGGACATTCTACTCCCTTTGTTTGGAATCCAATCCCCTCTTCCTGCCCTGTCCAAGTTCTGCTACTTCTTGGGCATGTGTTTCCCATGGCATCGCCCCCCTGGGGCGATGACCCCCCCCCGTTAAGAGCGCCCCAAAGGTCTGCAGCGAGCATACATGGTCCATGCAGTGAAACTTAATCTACTGACTTGCGTATCCCCACTGGAGCATGACCTCCTTCATGGAGCCTCCCACGGCCCGGCTCCTGCATCACACCTGCGGGGGCAGGGGGATGCACAATGGCGGCCTACTTAACGAAAAAAGGCAGGAAGATGATATTAACTACCAGCTTCCATAATTAAAAGTGGCCACTGGTCTTGTTTCAGAGCCGCACATCATGGCAGATCACCGCTATTATTGTCAAGATGAGTGAGACTAGTAAACGTCAAAATAAAGTTATGTCCTTTGTCATATTTACTGGACTTCTGAAGACTGACCCAAATTCAAAGTTCTGCTAATATTCCATGAAACCCTGCTTCTGTGCCGTTAATTCTTCACCGACAGTATATTGGGGGCGGCGCAATATTAATATGAGTCTCAGGGGTCACCCACGCCGACATCTCTACCTGTTTCAATCCCTAATTCCATTCAACAGACAACATGCTCAACAGAGCTGCATCCTGGCGCCACGTCACATGAGCTCACGCTGCGCCCTGACGTTGCACCACATACAACGCGACACTGCATACAAATCACTACCTCAAAAACAGTTACACAAAAATTGCTATCCATCCAAGAAAGGAAAATGAGCTTCACTCAGCAGACCTGTTTAAAATGAGGGAGACTGACTCATTCTTCTGGTTCTTCTGGAATTCTAATATTGCTCTTTTGATTAATTGAAAAGAGGTCAATAAAATAGATCTGAGATGGGAGGCCATTTACTTATGAATATAACGATCCATAACAAAACTGATCAATTTAAAATATCAATTATACAACATATTTATAGATGACACACTAATATAACATATATAATTTTATATTTAAATATATAACTATAATGAATTAAATATAATATTTAAATGTATCCATTTATAACAGGATATAAAATTTAATAGCAATTTTAATAATTACTTTTAATTATATATCTAAAAATTGGCATGGAAAATGTTTCAATAAAGTTTTATTTCTTATTAATTATGGTGAACCTGACATGATGCCTCTTCCTTTTCAGCTGACCTAGAGTTGACCTCACCGCCCCCCCCCCCGCAGTTACTGGCACCCCCTCCCAGCTCTTCTGTTAAGCAGTTAGTAACATATAAACAAAGCTCTTGTGCTCTTTGGACACAAGATACTCAATACATACTTTCCAGAATAGTAATCCCTAAAAATTCTGAAATTTATCAAAATATCAAGGTTTTCACCAAGAGTTCAGAAACTCCCGTCTCAAAACACATGCATTTAACTGTTACAAAATTACCACTGAGGGTAGGCAAATATTTCCCCAAAAGATAGTAAAACTGTAAGTGCTCTATTTTTATGGTTTATAAATCAAGAAAAAAAAAAGCAGGGAAAAATAAAAGCAGAGATTTGACAGATGGTAGACTAGGTCAGAACGGTTATTCTATTATCCACCATGTTAGTATGAAATATTATTTTCTTTTGTCCTTTAAGATAGATTAGTCAAAAGTCAAAGGTAAAACTAACATAAATATGCTTGGAATAAAGTATGAGATGTTTCCCAAATAATAAATGATCTCCATATGAAAGAAAAGCTATAAGTTGCCACGGCTTCTTCGACTAGATGTTTCACATGTTCATTGCAGGGTTTCCCAAGGAGTGGATTAGGTAACACTAAAAAAATGACTCTCTCACAGACAAGGATGGCACTCAAGCTGGTTAAAGTCACAGAATCTTTATATATGATGTGCTATCTGATCATCTTTTATGGTCATTAAAGAGGAAACAGAATCATCTCAGTGTAAGGTGTTTATAAATGTATGTATGAAATTCATTCAGATTTTAATAACTCAGTAATGCATAATTACAAGGACTGAAGGCAGGATTCAGTCAAGAATCATTAAAACCTGTGAAAAACACTAACAGTTGAGTTGTTCTTCCTGACTTTTGACTAAACAAGATCTATAGCAAATTAGAACATATAAGGTAGGCAAAGAGAGAAGAAAATAAATACGTCTCTTGAACCAGCACTGCCATATCCACAGGAACAGGTCCTTATTACTAAATTTTAGAGACACATATTGAGAGAAACTTGGTAGGTAGGAAATTACAGGTAGAAATATAATTCTGAAGTCATAAAATATTCCATAATGGAAGGCGTTGCAAGATAATCTTGGCATGGACAACATTTGCTTTTATAATATGATCTATGTTAAGGTGATTTTAAAAATCAATTTAAAAATTCATAAGATGATTTTACTCTCCTGTTGCTATATAGTGTTATTATACAATCTTTCATCCAGAGATTATTCTATGAGGGTATTCCAGCACAAACGTTCTTTCAGGTCACTAGACTCCAAAGACAGAACAAAATCCATCTTCCAAACAGTATATTTGTACAGGCCATTCCCAACATGACCCCCAACGCGCAGGCAAAATTCAACCACATCTTGCACATGCTTCTGCCCCACAGACCAGGGAGCTTTGCTACATGCACCTCACCTAACACAGGCAACATATGTTTAATGAGTTCAACTCATGCTCCTGTTAAGAGCTATTCACAGAAGATTTGGTCTTATTCTAAAAATTGAGCACCAAAAAATATGATTCTCTGCAAATCCCTTCTACCATATCTTCACCTTAAAAACAGGTTTCATAGTTTAAAAATGCAGTGAATGAGCTATCTAACACTCAATTTCTTTATAAAAAGGAATCATGCTCATGAAAAAAATTATAACTTGAAATAACCATTTCATTAAAATGACAAATAGTTTTCATACCTAAAGTTAACATGACTAAAGCAAACATATATATATTATAATATATATGTATATATACATACACATTTGCTATGTCTAAATATATAATATATATGTATATATATCTGGGGCACCGGGCACCAACCTGGTATCGGCTGAGGTGCTAGCACCAGTGTGGGGAGAGGCCTGGAGGCAGGAGCTGGTCTGGACAGAGACATCGCCATTTGATTTGCCAACAAATGAGGCTTTTCATGCCCATGGAACAACCTTGATTCCTCAGGATAGATCCATGTTGAGTCCAGAGCAAAGGAATTATTAAAAAAGATCTGTCCAAAAATAAAGCAAGCAAACATTTAAGACAAGACACATGGTAAAAGCTAAACACTGCTATAAAATATTTCTCATTCTTACATTGATCAAAAATTGGAGATTCCATAAGTGCGAACCCTGTAAAAGCATCATGCTAAAACTTAAAGATCCATGAGGCTCTGATACCAGTCACCTCCTGGATAAAGTCTTCTGGGCTGGTCTTCAGCTATTGACTTGGCTCATTCAGACTAGCAGCCAGTTTACAGATTGAAGAATCAGCCCAGTGAGGTAAACAGTCCGTCAAAGAGCAAGTCATCATATTATTTGCATTTAGTTTTCAAGTAAACACAGTGTGGTCATTAAGTTTGGATCCAAAAGCCAAGATAGATCATCAGAAATATGGACACTCAAAGCAATAACAGCGAGAAAACTCACTTTTAAAATGCATACTTAAATTATATAATGTTTAAGGCTAGGTTTTGATCAACGGTTATGGATTTAATAACTGAAAACTTCTAGAAATAGATTCTGATCGGAAGTAGAAATTTCATATTGTTCTATGAAATCCACATTTTTATGTTAAAACAGAAGGACCCCCACCTCTGCCGGTGCTTTTGAACAGACCGATCTTATTCTGAAAATGTTTCTCTCTTGGCCATAGGTATCACAATCAAAAAATGCATGGTGTTTTCTGCTGTTATGGTAAGACCCAACAAATTAGTAATTAAAGGTCCCTTTATCTAATTAAACTACTTGCATTTTACCTTACAGTTAGGTATCCCTTTGTCTATCCAACTTTTCCCAATAGTAGGTGGAAGAGCAGATGGGCAGACGTGTGGGAAAATGGGTACCAACCCCACAGAGGAAGAAGAGGTCAGTCCTAGGGATGGAGATGGACCACCAAGCAGCCACTGAAACCCAAGACAAGAGAGGGGGGCGCTCATCAGTCTAAACAGGTCAACGAGGTTGTACCGCAAGAGGCTGCGAAAGCTGCTTTTAAAAAAGAATTTTAAAATTATGTATTTGATTAGGAGAGAAATTCCCTCCTTCAACAATGAAGGAGACTACAAATGTTCACAAATTTTTAAAAATTTATAAAAGTGTTCATATTTGAATCATCACAAAGCATCGCCAACATTGCATTCTTCCACACTGAAAAGGAATCTCTAAGCACAAATCCATAAGAATATGGTAAGAAATGGGTTTCTGCCTTGAGATACTGAGAAACCACAATGGAAAGATGAAATGCTGGGCATTCCTCTGATAATTCTTGAATTCTTTTCATAAGCGAGCAAGGAGTTATACTTTATGATAATCTTTTCAATACAACATGTTGTATTAATTATACATATCATTTAAAATGCCAACACAACTAATATTTTCAAAATAAAATCAGCTAAGGGGTTAAGATTCAAAGTTTCCCAAGGTTCACAAATGCAAACACATTCCAAGGCAAAGAAAAGGTAAGTGAGCTTATCACATAACTGAAAATCCCAACGCACAGAATAAAATAGCAAACATTGAAAGGGGGCGGACAATTTAGGAGACAGTCTCCCTGATCCAAGTAACTGAATCTTCATCAGTGGAGAGCTAATAAGATCATTGCTCAGTGGTATGGAACAATTCCGTACCTATTTGTTTTAAGATCATAAAAGCATTTTTGATTTTCCTGTTACGTGAAAATATTCTTCTGGTTCTACATATTGTTATTTAACAGAAAATAGCACAAAAATATCTAAAAGATAAGAGTCTTGGATTTTTCTTTTTAAATTTACATGCACACACATAAACGCAGTGTTCTATACAGAAAAATATTGTAGTTCCTTGACATTATATACCTCTAGTGGTAGCACTCTGATATAACAATCCCTTCAAAACATGGAAAAAGCTACCAACGTTTTATTCAATAAAAACCGATATGAACTGCATCACACATCGAAATGTGATATCCAGTACCGCATATGTGATGTATCATTAAGTCTAAGGATCAAATTAGGAGGAGTTTAATAACATCTTTTAGAAAAGCTCACAAGATAATATTGGAATTAAATTAATTAAATGATGTATTCTAACACACCACTCATTTGAATATGCTAATGAAGGCAATCTTTGGAATAAAATACATGTTATTCCCTGATTTAAATGCATCTGCATAGTTAGATAGCAAACAATGGGTCCTGCCAAAACCAGGCTGCCTCGCTCTGTTGCACCATTAATCAAAGGCACAGTCACTTTTTCGTGTTTATTCCAAGCTTTAAACCCCAAACTCTTCTAAAGTGCAGTACGGCATTGGCTAATCTGGTGGACTCAGGCTGACCTAGCTAGGGTGGGTGGGGAGATCACCGGTAATGTTTCTCAATATTAAAGGCAGGATTTCCTTGCCGGCTTCCATTGGTCTGAATTCTCTTAAGCATCGTCCTGAGTCCATGTTCCAAAAAAAAAAAAAAAAAACAAAAAAAAAACCCAGATCAGAATCAGAAATAGCTATTGATTCCCAGCTTGCTTTTCAAGTCTGGCAGAGACTGTAAAAGTATTAACTTCTCTGCGATAAGTCGGCCCGGTTCCCGCTGCAGCGGCGGCGGCGACTTCAGCACCGCGCTCTGGACAGCGACCCGGGCCCCGGGAAAGTTGTGGCCGGCGCGGTCCCACCGCGGCCTTGGGGTGCGGGGTCCCGAGCGCGCGGCCCACAGCCCGGCACCCGCCGCCGCAGCAACTGCCGGGAGGCAGAGCGGGACGTCGAAGCATGAACTTTGTCGCCGACGCATGGCTGCCAGGCTGCGCCCTGATGGCTCGGGAAGCCGAGGACCACCGCGGGCGGGAAAGGGCGCGAGCCGCGGGGCCAGGGGCCGCGCCCGGGGCCAGGCGGGGGCCGCGCCCGGGGGGCGAGGTGGGCCGGGGGGGGATCCGGGGGCCGGGGGCCGGAGACACAGTACCTGCCCGTGGAGCAAGGGGTAGTGGTGCGCGGCGGCGGCGGCGGCGGCGGCGGGGTCTGGCGCAGAGGGCAGCGGCAGCATCGGCAGCAGGGGCTCCCCGGGGGCTTGCCAGCCGGGCGGCCCCGGGAGCAGCGGGCCGGCGGGGGCCTGCGCCGCGGCGAGCAGCACGGGCGCGGGCGCGACCCCGGCGCCCAGCCGGAGCAGCCCGGCCGGGCCGGGGACCATCCAGACCCAGGGCGGCGGCGGCGGCGGCGGCGGGTCTGCATTCATCGGCCAGAGGAGAGGCTGCCGCCGCCGGGGCTGCTGCTGCTGCTGCGGCTGCAGCTGCCGCCGCCGCCGCTGGAGCCCGGCGCCCACCAGCATCCTGCATCCCCGCGCGGGCGGCGGCGGCGGGGGCGGCGCGGGCGGCGGGCGCCCGAGGTGCGGGCCGGCGGCGGCGCGGGCTCCGGAGCCAACTCACTTGGTTCCGCGGCGCGGCCGCTCGCTCCGCCCCTGCCCCGCGCGGGGAGCCCCTCCTCCCGCCCGCCCCTCCGAGCGCGGCCGCCCGCGCCGCCGCCGCCGCCGCCGCCCCCGGGGCCCCGGCCGGGCCCGTGCGCCCCCCGACTCGAGGCTGCGGCCTCCCACGCACCCCCGGCCCACCGGCCGTCCGCGCCCCTGGACCCCTAGCGGCGGCGCGGGCCGAGGCGAGGGGCGCGGCGCCGCGGCCCCGGATCCCGCGGATCGCGTCCCCGGCTCCCCTGCGGCGCGCGAGGCCGCCGACTCCCGCGGACGGGGCGCACGAGGGGCCCCGAGCTCGGCCGGGCCGGCGGCGCAATCGAAGCGCGGCGCCCAACGGAGGCCAAGGCGGCGGTGGAGCCGGGCTCTTCCCGCCGCTGGCAGAGCTGGGGGCGCGGGCAGGCACCGCGCGGGCTGCCCTCTGCCCGGGGTCTCAGGTCTCAGCCCACCCCCACCCCCAGAGGGGATGCTGGTCGCGGACCCGACGTCCCGCAGGCATCCATCGCCACAGGGGGCGAGTAAATTTCTCTCTCGGGAAAATCTGCCCAACGTTTCCCTGAGCCCCCAGCAGGTCCTCTGCCCCCGCGGCCTGTGCCCCACGCCCCACTAGCTCCGTTGCGACGCAGCAGGCGGGTCGCCTCCGGGCCTTTGCACAGGATGGCCCCGTGGTCGGACTGTGAGCTGGTTCTGGATTCCCCCAGGCACAGGACTGTGCGTTTACCCACCGCAGGCGGCTTCTGCCGAGCACTCTTAGCCGCCTGGGGCTGAGGACGGACCCCTTCTCCGAGGACCCTCGCTCAGCCCAGAGCACCGCCTATGCCTGCAGAGCGAGCAGGTACGGCGCCGGTCACACGCATCACCGCCAGGCGGCGCGACGGAGCCGCTCGAGCCCAGCTCCTGCTGCAGACCCTGGTCCCTTGGAGCGCCATCAGCGTCACCTCCTTCACCTCCGTGTGCTCCTGGCCCACGATAGCAGCTCGGAGACCTGGCCCGGCCCTGGGGTCTCGTGTGCAAATAAGTCCTTAGGTCGCTGAGCCGCAGAAGCCCACCTGCAGTCAGCAGAGCCCAGGCTTCTTTGCAGCGTTTGATGAAGGGACTTCCTGCCTCCTAAAGCCGAAAGGGGGGTTGTCTTAGGATGTATGCACTGGGGCGCTTGCCTGCAAGGCTCACCCTGCCCTGGGGAGGCAGCATGCACCCACCCACCCATGCCCGGCGACACAGCTGAGACCCCTTCAGACCGCATGATCCATGTCATCACCTCTGAACGGGCGGCCACATGCCCCTGAGAGAAGGTGGGGCACCAGGGCGCCTTCAGTTTGCTTCTAGCCGTGTGTGATCATCCTAACTTGCTTAGCTTCCTCCTGGCCTGGCATGATTCCTTGTAGATCTGGGCATATGCTAATTGACATGGCTGGCATCCCGTACTTTCCTCCATGCAAACCGGTTTTCAATTAGCAACTTTAGCTTTCTCTTTGATGCAAAAGTACTGGCAAGATTTTGTTTTTTCTCACCTAAAATCAGATAGCTCTGCAGATTAGAGTCTGTTACTATTCAGCTTAAGCCCTTAATTCATGTGCATATATTCATACGCGCAAGCACACGTGATGCTGAGGGTCACGGCCACACTAAGCTTTTGGGGGCAGGCGTCTTTAGGCTGATGTGGACCTCTTAAGGGTCCTTCTCACTCCTTCGTCACTCGGGCTAGAGACCGGGGACCGCTGGTGGCAATGCCCAGCTTGCTTGCTTCTGGGTAAGCACGGGGCTACGTGCACTGACCCCATGCGCCCGGGAAGGCAGGGTTGGGCCATCTGTGTGTGCTTCAGCAAGCCCTGGGGAGGAGTCTCACCCCTTCCTACGCAGCACTGCCCTTAGAGTGGTTCTATGGAAGTCAGCTTTTGTCACCTGCTGTTTATCCCCTCCCTGGGGACTCCAGTGCCCTGAGCGCACGGTGCCTGGGGCGACTGCCTGGCTCTGAATGAGAGCTAGAAAATCACAAGTAACTGTTCACTCACATAAGCTCAAAGTAGTCCAATCTCTTTTGCCACTTCCTGCCATGGGCGTCACTGTATTCGCTCATTACAACGCTTTGAATTTTTCCCTGTACCGTGCGCAGTTCTGGCGACGACGCGGATGCAGAGTGATTTCCACCGATACACGAGTGGATCTGATGGGAGACCCGGGAGATGGGCGTATCGCCCACTTCTGGCTCTTGTCTCACTCAGCCTCATCCCAGGGTCTCCCCCACACCTCGCTCAACCCGGGATCAACCCGAAACCTTCGGAGACAGTAGAGGCTTCCCTCATAGACACTCTAATCCCAGTGGGGATGGAAAGGACTCTTTCCAAGCAGGAAGCCCTGTTTTCCTTGAGGACCAGAAATCAAGGAGCCGCCCGTCTGCAGGGGGAGGCTCTGTGCCAGGAGGATCCTGTACTAGTGGTGAGCAGGCCTGCTTGCCTGGCAGTGCCCCGGCGGGTCGGCCCTGAGCAGGGCACGTGGCCAGCGCCCCACAGATCCAGGTCGGTTCTCCTCTCAGCGAGGCATTTTCTTTATAAAAGGTTTTATACACGAGCGTCAAGGTCTCCTAACCGGTAAAAGCAGCTTTAAGTTTCTGGAACCAGAAACTTCCAGCTGGGACGGGCCAGGAAGAGGACAGCCTCACCATGAGAAAACATGCCGATTATTGCTATATGCTAATGAGTTCTGGATCCTTTATCACCTGTCAGGGAAAAAGTAACACAGGGGGTTAGGGAGAGAGCAATGAGATAAGATTTGCAGGCTATAAAAGGTTTTCCTTTTTATTCCATTTTCCTCTTTTTTCCTAAGTAAAATGTAATAGAATCCAAAAAATGAGAAAGACAAAAATGCTGCCTTCCAGACCTGCAGAGTTAAAATAAGCCCCTGAAGAATGGGAGGGGGGCGGAGCACCGAGATGTCACCCCAGCCACGCCCCACCCCGCCTGCCGCCCACACCACCGGGACATCTGCACAAAGCAAACACAGATGCCTCCTCGCCCTTCCCTCCCCAACACTCACAAACTGTGACGTGAGGAGGTCCTGGACCAGAGCCCGCAAAGCCACCGCCACAGCGGGAGCAACAACTGGCAACGTGGCGCTTGACTCACTGTGAGGTCAGAAGAAGCAGCTTCCAGGGCGCCTGGGGGGCTCAGTCGGTTAAGCGTCCGACTTCGGCTCAGGTCATGATCTCACGGTTCGTGGGTTCGAGTCCCACGTCGGGCTCTGTGCTGACAGCTCGGAGCCTGGAGCTGCTTCAGATTCTGTGTCTCCCTCTCTCTCTGACCCTCCCCTGCTCATGCTGTCTCTCTCTCTCAGAAATAAATTAAAAAAAAAAAAAATTAAAAGAAGAAGCAGCTTCCAAGCTAAGTTCTGGGGAATGTGGGAGACTATGCAGCTGAGCACCTCTCCTGGAGGTGAGGACTTCAGGGTGACCAGCAGCGAGGGGAAGGTGGCCTCCAACAGGATGGCCCTGAAGCCTCTGGGAAACAGGGAAGATGCACCGTGTCACAACTGGAAACGAACTCAGGAGCTGGGGAGCAACGTCCTGGATGGGAGGCAGGATTGGATCGCAGGTGAACAGAGGGTGAGAGCTGTCCATGGTCCCCGGGGTCAGGGATGGGGGGGAGCACCCCAGGTGATAGTGCATCGTGTGTGTATATCACATAGTATGCATCCTATAATACTGCATTCCATATTAAGTTGCATTTTTTAACAAAATAGTTTTAACTCACCTTATGCTATATAAAACTTTAAATTTTATGTTTCGCCTAATGTCATAGCATGAGCATCCTCCACATTATTAAAAATTCTTAGAGGAGCGCACTTATCAATAGCAGAGCATATCCCTCACTGAGGATGATTAGGAGTTAAGGTGCCCTGATGGGAATTCAGTAGCCAACACAACTCTGCCTGTGTTTCATTTTGTAGTTATAAAACTTTATCATCTATCTATCTATCTATCTATCTATCTATCTATCTATCTATCTACCTTCCTACCTACCTATCCATCCATCCATCCATTCACCCATGACATACTTAAAGTGTTCCAAATAATGGAGAGTGTAGAAGTCTATGGGACAGAGTGAGGTGTCTGTGAAGCCAGAGCCCCGGGCAATTGCTGCCTGGATTCTCCGCACAAAGCGAGAACCGTGTTCTTCTCCCTGTGCCCACAGCCTCCGCCCTCCCCGAAGGCATGTCTCCAGGTCCACACTGACCCTGGGTCATGGCATATGTGCACTCTTGGCCCAGCTCAGTGGAAAGGCCAGGGATGGCAGAGGCCAAATGCTCTTCTGTTTTCTGTCCCTCAGCACCCAGTGAACAGAAGATCCATCCGGAAGCTCCATTCCTGAGCCTGCACTGGGCGAGGAGACAGATCTGCTACATGGTGGTGTCCCAGCCAACACCCAGTGACACAGCCAGGTCATCTGCCAAGCCACACGCCAGATGTTTCCACCCACAGGGGAGACTTCCTGAGATCCACAGCAAGGCAGCCTGGGTGCTGAGCTTCAGAGAATGACAGAGAGAGAGACAGTTGTCCCTCACAAAGTGACAGCCCCAAACACAAACACGTGCTCGTAAAAAGCAGAAGACCCTGGGCAGGGGTGCAGGAGCCCCTCCGTGCTCTGAGTGCATTCCTCCCTCCTTCCTTTCTTTCTGCTTTTCAGACAAGAATGACCAGAGAGGGCAGGGAGGTCAGGGACAGATGGACGGGAGAGCTCCCGGGCGTGCTGAGGGGTCTCAATGTCCTCGGAGCTCCCAGCCCCTTCCTGTGCCTTTTGATGTTCCCCCACCACCCGGCAGCGCCAGCTGCTGGGTGAGGAGCGGGGGTCTACTTTCTGAGAACGTGGTCGACTGGGCCCTTACGAAGAGGAGGGAGGAGACCCACAGTGCAACGAATTCACACAAGCCATACGATTTCTCCGCCTTGTTCTTGGCACACATCTGTTGGCACAATGCGTGGGATTTGGAGACGAGATTGCTGGCACCTGCGCTACGAAGCCAGACCAGACAGCTAGAAAGCTGCCGTGACGCGGGCTAAGCAGACCCACATGTCGCCAACATTTGTGCTTAGGTGTGGTTGTATTTTGTTCTCTCAGAACACGTTGACCTCACGCCAGAGGAAGCACTGTGTTAACCCTGCTCTGATCTGTCCCGCGTGAAATCCCTGGATTTCCTAACGAGGTCGGAGAAGGGGGGTGGGGAGCCCCAGCCTCCACGTCCCTGCGGAGAGGCATGCGGCCGCCACTCGGTGTAATTGCCCTGTGGCGTTGCCGCATGCTGCTGTCAGAGGGGCCACGGCTGGGAAACGTGTTAGAACACTTCTGCTAATTGGAAATTACTCAGGAGGAGAAGCAGTGTGATCTGAACTGGGAAGGACGTAGAGCGTCGAGTGCGTTTTTCACAGTCTGACTATTTTGGGGCATAACCAGCAGCTCAAGTTACCAGGAGGTCAAGGGGAAGCCTGTCATCCACCTCCAAGTGGGTGAGACGCTTCGGCAATTAGCGCAATTAGCGCACCGAAGGTGGGTCGTTCCCCTGTGCAGCTAATCAGCCGCCTCTGTTCACAGGGCGCACTTTGCAGATTCCAACCAGGTTCAAGTTAGCACAGACTGCAAAGCACAGGGTCAGAATTCACAGCACAGCCCAGAACACATGTCTTTAGAGGCAGCGGAACAAGATTCCGGGGAAGCCAAGGGTCTGCACCGCTCCTGGCGGCTCGGCTCCTGCCTGCCGCGCGCCCAAGCCGACGGGAATTCTAAAGATCCAGAGCCTTCGCTCCACCAGCAGCGTCCAAGCTGCCCAAACATCCTGACCGCCATGCAGGCTCGCTGTGTGCCGTGACCGCGGGCGTGTGGGTACAGCCGGCCCTGCGAGCTGTGCGCCGAGCTCAGAGCGCAAAGCCTAAGGGCGGAAGTGAGCATCTTCAGGTCAGGCTGGGGAGTCTGTCCGTCCTTAGCCTCTGTGCCTGATTCCACTCTTCCCTTCTCCTCCGAAGCGTCTGGGCCCAGCAGCCTTTCTGCACAAGTGTTTGGTTTCATCCAGCAGCTCTCACTCCCGAGAAATGACAGCTCTGAACTCAGTGACCACAATCCTTCAAACCCAAATTCCCTCTTCTCTTCTCGATAATAAATTACATTTCCACTGAAAATAATCGAGGATACGACTAAATGGGCTCCCTGCACCGTTGATTGTCTTAATATTTTTCACCTTGATAAAATATTCTTAGGGCAAGAAAAAAAATAGAATTTCATAGAAAATCGTCTGTTTTTTTTTCTTCCCTGAACCATTAACTTAAGTAATTCTGTGCATTCAGCAAATTCTGCCACTTAACCTTTTCTCTGACTTTTCCAACTCATTAATAAATACATTGAAATATACTTGCTTTGGGACTAATCTCTGGGGCATCTGACTTCTGACCTTTTGCCCATGTTCAGAATTAGACAGGGCAGAAGTTTGGAGTATTTAAGGAGCTAAGTGGTAAAACAGAGGCACAAACATGACGGCCCCGGGCCCCAAGAGTGAGGTTTTCACGGGGGTGCTGGGGGAGGGCCAGAGGGCCGTGCTGCTCTGTTGCGGCAAGGTCACACAGGTGGGGGTGACTCAACGGAGGGGCAGACCTGCCATCGTGTGGACCTTCCCACAAGACGTCCACCAGGGCCCGGCCCCCAAGTCCCCTCAGCAGGTCGTAAAGATTCTGTTCCTCCAGGCGTCTCCCCTCCCCCCGCCCCGCCGAGCCGTGACGCCTGTGTCCACGTGTGAGACCGGTTAGGATGGAGTCGGCAGTCTGCCCCGGGGCCGTGTGACTTTGGACAAGTTCTGCCACCTGCTCAGACTCAGGTTCCCCAGAGGGAAGCCGGGGGCAAGTCACCCACTTAGCGGGGCTCCCGCGGAGGCAAGACGAGCAAGAGGGGAAGGGGGTGTTTGCCAGGGGCCGGTAACGTCCGCGGTTTCGTTTCCACTGTCGTCGTCTGTGCAGCAGCGCATGCACGGCGCCTCAGCTCCCGTGTCACAGCTGTGTCCCCGCTGCCCGGACGGTGCCTGCGCCGGGGGCTCAGTGAGAAA